ACTGGACAGGGGTCACCCCCTTTTTTACAAAAAAACCTACGCCACTGTATTTTGTACATGTTATATTTTAATGCACAAAATACGTAAAAAAGGTGACTAATTTTTTCCCTAAGATTCGCCGTTCTCAAGTTATTCATACCAATACAATCCCCTTGTGGCAGACACTTCTGATAATAATATTACAAGAATATTTGTTGATGTTTAAAAGTAAGTGCAATTTGTAAGCACATCAACAAAATTATTTACTTTCCTTTCTACACCACCTGTGAGGTAGTGTGCGATATAAAAAAATCATTTTTTTAAACCTCAACACCCTGTATCTCTAAAACGGGGCCGTTCCAGACCTATGTTTATAAGACAAACACATATTATTTTAAAGAGATCTATATGCCCTCGAAGTTTCCTGCATAAAATTCGGACCACCCTGTATATTGAATATCTAATATGTATAATTCTTTTAGTGTAAAATTTTTTAATATATTTCAATATTTTTCATAATGGTAGTCTGTAAAATTATATTATAAATAAATGGTCTATTCAATATAATTAGGATGTATATTGTTAATATTACTATAAATTACAATTTAAAATAAAATTTGTAAATAGTTCCTCGATTAATAATAATAAGGAGAAGAGCCTGCAACGTCGATAGCACGTGCGAAATTTTTTTTTTTTTCGCTGACTGATGGAAGTTGTTTCAGAAAATCATTGACTGACAATTTTGTTTATGGTTAAAATAGCAATTAATGCGCTCACAAAAGTTTTGAAGTATAGTAAACGAAGTGCACATTATTTAATTTTTGTACATACATACATTGGGGCTGATTGACCAGCTCTGTCCCCACATTCAGCTGACTGACTGACAACTTTTATTTATATGCAATATAGAATTTGTATAAGAATTTTCAACCTTAGTAAATTCATTTTATTACCTTGGTAGTACGACAACTTCGATAGTGAACCTGAGAGAAATATTCTCAGTTTCGATTAACTGACCATAGTATGTTATGTACTAGTGATGTGTCAATCCGGCTGGATTCGGTACAAAGGAACGAGTCCGCGGTAGGATCGAAATGAATCGAAATCGAAGTGGAATAGGTACCGGAACTACCGGAGAAACAAACCAACCTCGGATCTCGGAGAACCATGACGTCTGGCGGGTCTGGCACACGTGTGCGCGTGCGGCTATCGTAAATCTTAGCTACGATAAATGTTATATGGAACTAGTAGATTTAAATTTCTAAAGTTTGTATATATATTCCTTCATGTATATAGGTACCTATCATAACGAAATATTTGCCTTCGCTTAGAAATATAAACATATACTTCTACGATTCCGTTTTGAAATATGAAAAATAATAATTTTTCATTATGACTTAGTTAATTCACTTTTAATTACTTATTTATTTTTATTATAAGCAAAGCAGTGCATAAATTTTTTTAATGACTGGTAATAAATTAAATCGATTTGTCTTTTATTTTATGTATTATTTAACTTATGGGTTTGTCTTAGTTAAACGCATCGACTCGTATTATCCAGTCATTAATTTAACGAAAAATTTTAGTGTGTACAAAATTTACTCAGTTAGTGTATTACTTAATTTGCGTTTTTTATTATTTTTGTGCGTTAAAATGAACAGAAAACGTAGTGAAATTTGGAATTGTTTTACTGTAGTGAATAAAAATTCTGCAAAATGCACTTTTTGCAATGGATTATTTTCTTATAAAGGTGGAGCAACCGCAAATTTATCCAGACATTTAAAAAGAAAACACCCTGCTAGTTTAATAGCAATAACTGAAAGCCGCATACCAAGCCAACCCGAAAATGTATTGGAATCTAATTTACAGGCACCCTCTACGTCTGCATCTACATCTACATCTACTGTTATCGGTACAAACTTGACGACAAAGGAGGAGTCTGCATCCGCTCCCAAACAGAGAAAAATTTTCCAGACAACTCTAAGCCATTTTACTAAACAGCCATTACCTTTACAAATGGCAAAACAATTAGACGAACAGTTAATTATTATGATTGCTGCTGAATATCAAACTTTTAGTATAGTAGAAGACAAAGAATTTCGCAAGTTTGTTTCCATGTTAAATCCGAATTATATTCTGCCTTCAAGAAGAACTGTCTCTAACGTTTTATTACCTCAACTCTATTCAAAAATAAGTGACAATGTAAAACAACTTTTGTCAACAGCAGAACACATTGCTGTGACAACTGACGGCTGGACTTCTATTAACAGCCAGTCATTCCAATCTGTAACATCACACTTCATTAACAATAAAAATGAACTTATTCCTATATTGTTGGGATGTTGCCACATTGAAGAAAAACATACAGCTGAAAATTTATCAGGAAATATTAAACAACTTTTAGTTGACTGGGACGTTTTTCAAAAAATTTGTGCTGCCATTACTGACAATGCAGCCAATAATACTGCAGCTGTCCGCATATTAAATTGGCGACATCTCCCTTGTTTTGCCCACAATCTTAATTTAATAGTACAAAAAGGTATGAATGAAATAAATGAAAGTCATAATAAAGCAAAATCAGTGGTTGAATTTTTTAAACGTAGTTCAACAGCAGCGGCAAAACTTGAGAACATACAAAAACAAATGGGGTTCCAGGCGTTGAAATTAAAACAGGACGTCGTCACACGATGGAATTCCACTTTTGACATGTTTGATAGAATTATAAAAATAAAAGAGCCACTATTATCTACAATAGCCGTTACAAATTGCGAGACAATATTAACTCCTGAAGATTTTAAAGGATTCTCTCTGGGTTGCAAAATTCTAAAACCATTTAAGGATATTACAGAGGAAATGAGTAGCGAAAAAGGTGAGACGATTTCAAAGGTTATTTTATTTAGCAGAATTCTAATAAATAAAATTTCTAAAATAAAGTCAGACTGGGATGAGGAAAACCCTCAGGAGGTGTATAATTTATGCGAAATTATATTAAAAGAATTACAAAAACGATTCCAAGACGTGGAAGATAATTTAATTTGCAGCGAAGCAACGTTTCTTGATCCTCGGTTCAAGAAACATGGTTTTAATAAAGATTCTGCTTATAAACATACACATAAGCGAATTTTACAAAAGGTTTCGGCATTCATTTCAAAAAAGCAAACTGATAATGAGGAAATAATAACAGAAAATAGATACACCTGACGATAACATTTGGAGTGATTTTGATGTTGAGGTAATAGGTCTGTTCCAATAAGAGTCAGGGATTGGTTCCCAACCGTTTGAAATGTTTGGTCAGCTAAGTTCTAAATGTGTCTTCACTGAATATATCGCAAGAATTAGTTGGATGCACATTTCAAACAGTTCGGAACCAATTCCTGACTCATGTTGGAACAGACCTAATATAAATTTAACTTTAAATTTCAATTAAATTAATTTTTTTTTGTAGATATCTCAAATGAAAAGAGATTTTAATCCCACGACCAATGCTATTATTGAAATAGATAAATATTTACAAGAACCCATATTGAGCAGAAACAGCGATCCGCTTCAGTGGTGGGCAGAGAGAAAATTTATATATCCAAATTTATTCCAAATAATGAAAAGTCGACTTTGTATCCCGGCCACTTCAGTTAGTTCGGAACGTGTTTTTTCTAAGACAGGGCAAATATTAAACAAACGGAGAAATAGACTGTCACCATCAAAAGTTAATGCATTAGTATTTTTAAATTCAAATTTAAATATTATTAAGCATTAAAATTTAAAAATAAGTGACTTACGCATCAGAATTTATTTTTATTTTACTTTATTTTAATTATATGTTTTGCCAATAAATATTCATATTTACTAAATGTAAATATAATGATTTTTAAATAATTATTATTTTATTTATTTGCATTTAGGTATTAAATTTGTACTCTTTTTTAAAGTATGTAGGATTATTTTAAGTATGATCAATAGCATAATAGGTAACATCCTCATATAGAAGAACAAATTGTCAAGAATATCAATCTCGATTTAAATATCATGCGCCAAGTATCTAATATTTATAATAACCAGCTGTTCATATCAATCCGTTGTTGAAATTTATCGCGCTCCTCAAGTCAGCACTGTACTGCGTGTTGCCTCTATTCAATCTTGTTCCGAGGAACGAATCCGCTGGACTTGTTCCGTGTGCGGATTGACCCTGAAATGAATGAGTCCACAAAAGTATCGAAATTTCCCATCACTATTATGTACATAAATACTGTAATCAACTATTAAGAAAATTAGCCTTAGTAAATTCAAACAATTTTTTTGCCTCTGGCTCTTGACTATTTCCAAAGCATGTAAAATTTTTGGCTTGTACGGTTTAATTTTGTTTTTTTACAAGATATTGTCTAATATTTTCTCGAGGAATATTTAACACTAGGTTAGCAACTCTAGAAACATTGTTTAGAAAATATTCTAGAATTCTGCCATTTCGGCAAATTCTCTGAGGTATATTTTCTATTTTAATAATATGCCTTGATACTGCACCTGTTTCGTTAAAAAGGTATTAATGCGTTGTACTGTGATGATGCTTACTGCAAGCCTATCAGGATGCCTATTATTAAATTCTATAGCTGCTTGTCTTGAAGACAGAATATTATCAGCAACAAGACATATAATTTCAATTGTGTCCCTTACACTTAACTGTTCCATACCTAAAGCGCATCAGTACAAATTACGTAAGAGCAAAAGGGGGGGGGGGGTACGAGATCCTGACAAAACCTTATGTGGGGAGGAGAGATCAAAACAATAACTATGTAAAACGATATTATCAATATTTAAAGAAAATAGTTGCAAGACATTTTAAAATACTACTATTGAGATAAATAATTAATTGGAAGAATTTAAATAAAAAGTTGGTCGAAATCACCCTGTAATTAAGAATTTCATGAGGCTGACCCGGTTTTAAATGGGTCACACAGTAGGTATGTAAGAAGATACATATTTCCAACAAACAGTGAAAGTAAAAAAAATTACACTTTTACTAAAATTACCTGTGGATTAGTGAGAGCAGAAGTCATAACTCTTCTCATCAATCCCCCCATATTATTAAAGTCTAATAACATTGTTATAAAGCCATCAGCATCCTGTATTGCACCCTTGTAAGCGTCAGGAGTTCCCGTTTTACTATTTTCTCTAAGATGTTGAATTAACCTTAAAATAATTCTAGGCATCATGGCCTCAGCGACACACATTAGATCGGTGGGTGCTTTGCCCTTACTTGCTGCTTTATTTGGACCATGTCTATCACAAAACCTAAAAAAAAAATTAAATAGAACCCTTAATGGGTTGTTTAGAATTTTAAAATTAATATCAATTTTGGTAATAAGTAGTGCTGGCAAAAACCGAAAAAAATTAAACTGGTAACCCGTTATTCGAATAATGGCCAAAACCGGATATCTGAAAATGTGCTTTGTAAAACTGACGAGGTATACGATGTTATTCACATATTCACATATTTTAAATTTTAAAGTTAAATCTAATGTTAAAAGTTAAAATGTTAAAACAGTTAAAAACAGTTGCACTTGTTACTGTGATTCTTCAATTTATTATTTATTGTATAAATGGATTTGGTCGTTTGGTGTATGTGGGTGTGGGTAACTGTTTTTTTTTTTATCAGTCTGTGTAAGGATAAAATATAAAAATAAATTGTATTTCCCTTAATAGTTCAACCCTAATATGTATATACTATGTAGCCTGTGCCAATAACTATATAACACTAAGACTATATTATGGTGTTATGTAGTTATTGGCTATAAAGAATCCGATTATTCGGATGTTTGAATAGATTTATCGAATAATCAGTTATTTGAATAATTGGTTATTTGAATAATCGGATATTTGAAGAATCGAATAATCGGTTTTCGGGTTTCATAAAAATCTGAATTATCCGAAACCGTTAACCGACTATCCAAAAAACCGATTTCAGTTGCCAGCACTAGTAAAAAGTACTTGATAATTCATTATAATACTGTATATGGTTACAGAGAATAAAAGGAAACATTTTTACATTTTATGGAAAGAAGTAATTCTTGATAAAAAATTTTGCTTAACCTTAGAATAAAGCTTCCAGCGAAAATTTTTAATTTAAACATTTTGTTCATTGGGTGATCTATTAGAAAATGCGGTTTGAAAATTAATCTACATGAAACCAAATTTAAAGATGAAAATACACCTGAATCAGTCAGGTGTCAGGCCAGTCATTTAAAGCGAAGTTGTAATATCTAATGTACACTGTACACTCCAACAACTTTTTATAAAATTTAATGTTTAAGACACGTTTTTTACCATTCAATTCATTACACCCAATGACTCATTATTCGTTTTAGAACAATTAAAGTAGACTGATTTAACTAAAAATCTAAATTCTGACAAAATCTTTAATTCTTTTCTTTAATAGCTTTTTTGGGCCAATAAAAATGAAGCAGTTTGTTCTTTAAGTCCTTATTAAATTTTTTATGTTTATAAAGAATTCTCAAATTATCTCTTATTCCTCGATAGTCTCTCATATTTTATGTTATTCCTTGTTATTTCTCTCATATCCATTTAGAAATGTACACATATCCCCCCATTAGATAACACGTTTGTTTATTTCATAAGATGAAAAATAAAACTGTCACTTCAATTTTCAATTTTTAATGAGAATTGATTGAAACCTCATTTTAGTAACAGGTTTCTTTTTAATTTTATACTTTTAACAACTGTCAAGTATGACATATGCAAGTAAATTGTCACACCATTTAGAAAATGTGTATTCTCAGATGGTCATAAAAATAATGTTACATAATACGATTTGGCATCAGTGTTAAATCGATGGCGATTAGATAGTTGATATCCACAATATTTTTCCATGATATTCCACGTATTCCTATACAGGGTGTCCCGAAATTCATGCAAAATTTGGTCACAGATTCTTAAGACAAATTTAGGGGACCCACATTTTTTTTTTTTGCCAACTGGCCCCCTCTTTCGGGGCTACAGTCCCCTGAAGTCCGCCCGTAAGAATAATCTTTTTTTTATAGCTCAGAACCCTGTTGTACAAGAATCACTAAAGAGCGACCGAAAAAAAGCCTAATTTTTCGCCCCTTTGTGAAACCTCGTAAATTTACTCCAAATGTGTGCCAAAAGATAGTCTATGGAAGCTTTATTCTAAGGTTAAACAAAATTTTTTATCAAGAATTACTTCTTTCCATAAAATGTAAAAATGTTTCCTTTTATTCTCTGTAACCATATACAGTATTATAATGAATTATCAAGTACTTATTACTAGTGCTCGCAACTGAAATCGGTTTTTTGGATAGTCGGTTAACCGGTTTCGGATAATTCAGATTTTTATGAAACCCGAAAACCGATTATTCGATTCTTCAAATATCCGATTATTCAAATAACCAATTATTCAAATAACTGATTATTCGATAAATCTATTCAAACATCCGAATAATCGGATTCTTTCTATATAGCCAACTACATAACACCATAATATAGTCTTAGTGTTATATAGTTATTGGCACAGGCTACAAAGTATATACATATTAGGGTTGAACTATTAAGGGAAATACAATTTATTTTTATATTTTATCCTGGGACACAGACACAGACTGATAAAAAAAAACAGTCACCCACACCCATATACACCTTTCTCGACCTTTCTGGGAAAGGTTTCTGAAGACCTTTCCCAGAATCTGAAGTCATAGAGATTAACAAACCTTTGATTTTAAATCAGCGACTTTGAAAACCCTATAACAATCCATGTAAAAATGACAACTTTAATCAACCGTAACTTGAAAACAAAATGCAGCCTCAAGCTAAAACTTATAGAGGATTCAAGTCTCATCATAGACTATCTTTTGGCACACATTGAAGTAAATTTATGAGGTTTCACAAAGGGGCGAAAATTTCGGTGGCTCTTTGGTACACAAGGATTTTATGACATATGGAATCTGATGGTGCTACGTTTTTTGGTGCACCAGTCCACTATAAAGTCATTAAATTTAGAAACTTTTTGTCTCTTTATACTTTTTTCGTAAAAGGCAATGGCGAGAAAAATATCAAAATGTGATCGAATGTATATCGTGATTTGCCATTTTCCTCAAAAACATTACGTTTTACGAAACAAATATCAAGAAACAAAAAAATTTCTAAATTCAATGGCATTCAAGCTAACTAATAATTTAAAAAAAAATCAAATTTGTAACCAAATTTTTCTGGTTCCAAAGACAAGGGGGCCCACAAAAAAGTCTCTTAAGGGGGTTTCTCACAAAAAAGCGTTGCACTGTGAGATTCCACATGTCATAAAACCCCTGTGTGTACCAAATTTAGTGATTCTCGTACATGGTTTTGAGATATAAAAAAGAATTCTCAGGGGCAGATTTCAAGGGGAAAAAAATACGGGTCCCTTAAATTTGTCTTAAGAATCTATGACCAAATTTTGTTGCATGAATTTCGGGACACCCTGTATAGATCAGTAAGGCTGTACTATACATGTTATATGTACTATACCACTGATGATATTAGAATATATGAGCTCAGAGATTTAAAATAATATATAATTTTTAACGAGGACAAAAATATACTGCATACAGAAACAAAAACGGATAAAATTAATAAATTGTATATTTAAGGGTTTTATTAAGTACATTAGATGATTTACATGTATTTTCTTTTTATTTTATGTCACTAAAATAAGTAAGTAATTTTGAAATGTAATATTAGAGAATACCGATTTCTAAATTTTAATAGGGATTCTTGTATATGACATGGAGCATTAGAGATTCGGGAATTAAATCCCGGGTCATTCGCTCAAAAAAAAAAGTGTAAACTGTATTTGAATCATTTTGCCTTACCCTGTTTCTTTCATAACTGATGTGTCTCCACAGTCACATGCCCCTCCTGCTTGACTAAGAAACATATTGAAGTCATGCCTTGCATGGTTCCCTTTTTTAAAACACTCTGTGCATAAGGACATGCAAGGGGATATTCCACATGTGCGACATCTGTATGCTACAAAATTGGGAGTCCATACCAGACCACAAGTTGTGGCATTATCATAAGCTCGAACTGAAAAAAGTATATAATAAACGTAACGGTTTAAATATTTCTAAATAGATGCACATTTATAAGGTTTAATACAAAATTATATATCTAGTAAATAGTCTCACTTCAAAGGGTAAATATCTTTAAAATTTAATTATTAAGGCCCGGTACTTTGAGTGTCGGTTAAGACTTGATTAACTAATCAGGCGATTAGACTGTGAATACATTATTATAAAGTAAATCAGTATATACAGTCTAATCATGTGAATACTTAACCAAGGCATAACCAAGAGTCAAAGTACTGGGCCTAAGAATATTTATTTTTCGATTTATTTATCATCTATTGAAATTATAATTGACAGAATTTAATTAATAATAAATTCTAATTTACGATTTTTAAACTAAATGATCTATACATATATCTAAAGTATCTGGTTTTCAGAATATATAAGATATTGAGGTTTTAAAAATAATTATTCAAAAATTCCTTAATATGCAGAGGCGAAGATATTGTGAGGGATTCCCACCAAGAACTCTAAAATTTTTACCACACTAAATATTTTGCAAAATAGAGAGTACTTAATTTCCTAAAAAGTTCCAATTAAGCTTATCGCATAGCTGAATAAATTTAAAATACCGTTTTTAAATGTTTCACAAAAAAATAAGGAATTTTTTATTTGAAATACAATTTTAAATACAGTCTATCAAAAGTACAGCAGTTAAAATAGATAAATTTAAAAATTTTTAGTGTTCTTAATTCCTCGTTATTCTTCAGATAATTTAAACTTTAGATTACACTACATATATTTAAAATTTTATTTTAAACAAAAAAATTCCCTTTTTCTAAACGAATACTTTTAGGCCGCAGCACAGGTTTTTGTCTGTCAGTGCAAATTATTTATATTATTAATCATATTTATTTGCTATAACCCTTTATATATACGTATACCTATAATTTTTCTGAAAATTTTAGGTGTCTTACAAAACGCCGAATAGCTATGTCTTATTGTAAAATGAACGCAAAAGCCATCGTTTTTAGATTGCATCTAAAATAAACTGAATATATTCCGGCATATTATAATGAGACTGCTTTCGAGTTAAGCGAATTGTAAGGCAGGCGTGGATTATTAATTTTCTAGTTTCTAGGTTAGTTTTCCACTACATATATGAATTTATCCCGTGGTATGACATTATGCAAATAAACGCTAAATTAGCAGTATTTTTTTGTTATTTCCACTTCAAAAACTTGGTTGAAACCCAAGAACAGAGCTTGTTCAATTAAGTAAAATAATATGTAAACATTTTAAATTTTATAGATTTAGAACTTAACTCTAATTGTTAAAAAAATCAAATGTAAAAATTAGCATTTATTTTTTCATACCATATTATGTAGAATTAAAAAATGTTTTATTTGTAAATTGAAATTTCATGAAATGCCTAATTGATTTTCAGTCGACTGGAGACAATGAACCATATTATTCTATAGAAAATGAAAATTAAGATGCGTTTACAGCAAGACTTACAGCTATTCAAAATTCAAAGGGTCAAAGATAGCAAAAATTTGTAGCATTTTCCAAGTAGATCCTAATAAATTAAAACACTACAGTTTAAATGAAATTTGTTATATTGTGCCACTTTTCATATTTATTTTATTTATTTATTTTTTTGGCCAGGCAAAGATACAAATTTGTACATATGGCAAGTCAAGTATACTAAAAGAAAAAGAACAGAACATACATCGATAGTGACAATAAAAAGCCACAGTTAGCATCATTTACCACTTATAAAATCCTCCACACTATAAAAACCTCCAACTGACAAAAATACTTTAGTTTTGTTTTTAAATTTTCTATAATCAAGTATACATCTAATTTCATTAGGAAGAGCATTGCACAAGATTACACAATTATAATATGAAGATTTTTTAAAAGCACTTGTATGGTGGGAAGGAATACTCAACAGCTCACCATGTCTGGTCATATAGTTGTGAAAATATGTCCGTTTATTAAAAAGCGGATTATTTTTTGTAAAAATTAGGCATCTTAAGATGTAAATTGAGGGTGTTGTGAGAATTTGCTTATCCTTAAACACATTCCTACAACTCTCATTCACCTTCAAGTTGAAAAGTAGTCTAATAATTCTTTTTTGACATATGAAAACTCTTTCCCATTCACTACCTCTACCCCAAGTGAGAATGTTGAACGCTATGTGACTGTATACCATGGAATAATAAACATTAACTAAGTCCGCCTGATCAAGAGTATGCTTTAACTGCAGTATTGCAAAGAATGCTTTATTTAACTGACCACAAACATGGTTAACATACTTATATACAAGAAATAAAACATACAAGAAATAGGAAAAATACCCCTCACATTTTTATTTCCTAACGATTTTATTTGTCAACCACGTGTTTAAAATACAGATCTGTAATTGTAATTAAAAACTCGATTTATTTGATAATAAAAACGAAAATGTGAACTTCTAATTCATGAAAATTATTGAAAATTATCATTTTTAATAATTCATCTCGGTAAAATAAAACAATAAAAAAAATTTCTGAATTCCATAAAGAATTTTTGTTATCAAATAAATCAAAGAATTGATTAAATTAAATTAATTATTAAATTTAATAATTAAATTATTTTTGATGATGACGTGATGAATAATAAAATGGGTAATTAAGGGAAAATCATTAAGAATGCGAAAAGGTTCTTATTCTCATAAAATATAAACTGATATTATTATTAAACAAAAATAAGGGCAGAGCAGTGCATTTTTTAAATCAAAATCACTGGGCGACGAGCTCATAATACTTATACTAGAGGTAAACAGCGCCGCAGGCGAAAAATTTTTGAAGTTTTATGGTGAGGAATTTTGAAATAAATAATATTTCTTCCGAATACAGTCTATTAACTCGATTTGAATTGTTACTATTCTACCTAAACTGATTATTTGCGGGACAAACACTTTTTTATTCCAATTCAATCACTGGTCGACTAATTTTCACTAGCTAAAAAATGCTCTGGGACAGAGATATATTCTATTACACCAACAGTCTTCAAACTTTTACGACCAACCTTTCGATTTTTTTGAGGAACCCCCAAACTTAAACAAATTTTTTACACATTTTTTCCTGATTATATATATATTATATACAGGGTGTCACACATAAGAACCGACACAAGGCAGGTGTATGTAGGGGTGTCCAAAATATTGTAATTTAACCAAACTTCCGTATATACAAAGTTGCACACCTGAGGAGTTATTAGCCCCCAAAGTGGGACCCTAAATTTCGAAAAAAATTAATATCTGCAACACTTTACCGTAGAAGAACCAAATTTGCTACAAGATTTAGGTTTATTACTGGTCTTCTTTGACTATGATTTAAAGTTAATAGAAGCACTACAAGGTGTTCATTGGGGATGACTCGCCCCTAAAATTGTTCAGAACTTTTTTTTCATTGACCGAATTGAAAAATAGTAATATTAATTCACAGCAGAATTTAATTCTAATTTTTTTTTACTCTTGTTAAATTAAAAAAAACTGGTTTTCAAGAATAACCGTATTAACTGACACAAGATTTTAACAGTGTTCATTAGAAAATAATTAAAAAGTCAGTAGTAGGCAACGAATTTATCTTTCAAACTTGTCAGTTAGTAATAAAATTATTTTATTTCAATAATTCTTCCACCCCTCTTCTTCAGTTTCCTTCGCAGAAGCCCAGCACAATTAACATATCAACTTGTTCACTAAATGTAAATTTTCCAGCCATTTTCAACAACAATCAGAGGCAAATTTTTGGGGTGCGAACTTTTGCTTTCGATCTACACATTTTGGTGTTATACAGAGAATTTTTTTAAACTTACAACACCTACAAAATTGCTGTGTGGTGATAATATCCGTTCATAACTTTTTCCTCTTTAGGCAATAATGTCAACATTTTTTTATCTGATAGGTGATACCATTTGGAAGTTTTTTGGACTCTTGTAGAATTTTGATTAAATGAGCGGTTTAGGTACAAAAATATATTTTTTAAATGTCTACATTATCTTGCCACCCATATTACAATATTTAACAAAGTGCTAGCAGGCACTGATTTGGTAGGTTGACTGCAATTTCAGTTTGATCTTTATAAATCATTGTATAGTTTTTCCGAAGTCAATTGAAGAACCTATAATTTCAAGGTATGTACCAGGCTCGGTCGCTAAGCAGCAACTCGGCATTGAAATATTTGAAAAACTTGTTCCCATATTTATTTAGCCATACCCATAGATAGGTCTGGTCGAACTAAACGTGCAGGTGGTAGAAATGTATACGACCAGTTGAAGAATGTGAGCGTGGGCAAACGAAATGTAGCACAACTGTATTGGGCTTCTGGCAATAAATCACAGCAGGCGACAAGTGGTTCATAAATTGCCCAGCAGTGCAGTGCTGCAGTGCGGAATTTGGTGTGAATCAGGCAATTTTAATTTATTATAGGCACCTTCTATCAATCGTTGATATTACAATTGTGAAAGGGAGAAATAAGAAGGATATTTTGTTTACTAATATTATCACAACATGGCATTTTGGAGACCTTTTGAAACGGAACAAAACAAAAATTACCACCAATAAAATTGTTTGAGGACATAAATAATTAAAATATGTTGTTGGCCAAATGAACATACAGGTTGATTCACAACTTATCCAAAAAATTTTGGGAATAGATGCGACATGAGAAATGGAGTCAATCGTAAAAAAAATGTTTGTAAAATCCTTATAGTTTCCGAGAAAAAAATTATTAGTTTATTAGAAGTTATAGTACCTTCAACCACTACATAGCTGGACAACTGTAGTCTCTAGTGTCATTCGCAATACGCGTGGAGAGCCACGTGGCCTTAGCGACTCCGAATACTGAAATCCGTCGTTGCGATAGTGTTTTTACTTGTTATCTGTGGTATTTACAACAGTTTTTTAGTAGTTAGTGTCAAAAATGGTTTGCGTGTATAGCATCTCAGAGTTGATGGATATCGTTTTAATTT